ACTCTGGAAGGATTATCTGTAATTTAATCCATTCGAAAATCAAGGCTTCCAGGTACACCATTTAGATACGTAGCAAATATATCTTCCCCAGAATCACATATATTTAATATTTTTAATAATCATTCTCTGTCAAATTGAATACATACTCATATGACAACATCAAAGACACATGTACTTCCAATTATAATTTACCAACTAAAAAGTTGTGTATATTTTCCTCCAATAGAAGCACCTGTGACTACAAAAAGTGAAAACCCTCTTCTTCCAGCTGAACCAGGAATGTTAAAGCAAAATGCTCAATTATCAGAATCTATTTCACTTCATAAAATTGATAAACCATATCTGTCAAATGGAACAGGTGCAGATAAGGCACCACTACTAACATCTGCTCTCCCATACATTGTTAAATCCGGTTTATCAATTACAGAAGGTGTGTATAGTCCAGTAATAGTAGGACCTGTGACTTCAACAAATGAAATCCCTAGTCTTCCAGGTGGACCAGTAAAAATAATGCCAAAAATGCATTTAGCCCCGTCCCCTAAACATCACAAAATTTATTAACCTTATCTGTCATTTGGAACAGGTGCAGGTATGGCACTACTTCTACAGACATCAGAACTTCCATGCATTATTAAAGCTAGTTTACCAAGTAAAGAAGTAGCGTTTAGCACTCTGGTAAGAGTATCTGTCATTTCAGTCATTTTAAAACCTAGCATTCCAAATACAGCACAAACGAATATGCAAAGTATATCTTCACCAGAACCCCAAATACTTTACGCTATTGATAAGCAATCTCTGAAAATTATTCAAATTTAGATTTTTCACCACTTCCATAAACACCTGCATTCTAGACTATTATTAAGCCTAGTTTATCATTTATAGAAGGAGTGTTTACCCTCTACGTGTAGCACCTGTAATTTCGAACATTGAAATGTTTTTTCTTTCAGATGCCTAAGATAGATATATAGTAAATATGCAGTTATCAGAATCACCTTTACTTCGCATTACTCTGCTTAGGCATATTGGTAACACTAATGGCTCTGCTCTTGTTCTTGCTTATAATGCTCTTCCACATAAAGACATTATAAACCCCTAGTTTATAATGCTCAAAAGGTAGTTATAGCTATCTATAGCACTATCTCGGGGTTTCATCAGCTGAAAATACGTTGTCTTTCAAGTGCAACGAAAATACATATGCTAAATATGACATTATCAGGAAACATCTGCACTCTACTCTTTGGACAGATCTAGCGTCTGTCCCTAGGTCTACCTTGGCCTTCAGACTCGGTTATGATACCAGTAGGGATGACGGCACTAACATTGATTCTAAAACTTTGTTTACCAAGTAGAGAAGTTATATATAATCCATTATTAGGAGCACCTGTGATTTCCACCATTAGAAAACCGTGTACCATATAAATATACAACAATTGTGCCTTCCTTTAAATAATACTAATAATATATAAAATAATAATATATAAAAATAATATATATCTTGTAAATTCAAATTGTTTATGCTTGTATAATCCTTTGAATATGTAAATATTAATGCAATATTATGAAATATGAATATATATCTCACCAACAAGAAGACCTGGGAGTTCGACCTACTTGTTCATTACTCATTACTATATTATTTGTTCAACACGTACTCACAGAAACACACATACTCACATTCACACAAAACTCACACACATACACACACACACACACCTTAGGCGCCTGGTGGCTAAGCGGACAGCACTCAGGGCTCGTAATCCTGGAGACCGGGGTTTGATCCCCGGCGATTGCGGAGAAAAATGGGCAGAGTTTCTTTCACCCTGATGCCCCTATTACCTAGCAGTAAATAGGTACCTGGGAGTTAGACAGCTGTTACGGGCTGCTTCCTGAGGGTGTGTGTGTGAAAACAAATATTCGTTGATTGACAGTTGAGAGGCGCACTCACCGAACGTTCGGTGTTCGGTGTGTCCGAACAGGTTCACACCGAACCTGTTCGGACCCACCTCATTTTAATATGACTTAATTATATTCCTCAAATTAGGCAAATTTGTAATTAAATTTTGTAAATAAAGATGTTAATAATAATAAGATGACATCAAGCCATTCTGAGATCTCACCCCTCACAGTAACTCTCTGCTTTCAATTGCTTAGGGAATCCGGTAACCACTAGAGCACCCTACCATTTACTCCTGCCTGTTTCTTCAACCTAAGCACCAGCCTCTTATGGGGTAGGCTGTCAAAGAGTTGCCGACAGTCCAAGAAAAGACAGTGTGTGCCCACCCTCCTGAGGTGAGGTTATCTTGAGATGACTTCGGGGTTTACCGTCCCCGCGGTCCGGTCCACGACCAGGCCTCTATTTTCTTACACACCCTCAGGAAGCAGCTCGGTGCAGGTGTCTAACTCCCAGGTACCTATTTACTGCTAGGTGAACAGGGCCATCAGGGTGAACGAATCCCTGCCCAAGTTTCCACCTGTATCCCCATGTTCGCATACCACCCGTGTTAAATAGTTTACCTTTATTTTCCCTGGTGTACGCATGTGTAGATTTTGTGTAAGCAATACGTATGTGTGTGTTGATATGTAGTGCTTATGATCTAAATTACAGAATCAACTTAATCTATATTTTTAGGTAACAACTATATGGTCAAAACTACAAAATAGCGGAGAAAAGTACAGTAATATTTCACTGTCCTTGAGGTTACCTCTCGACACGAGGTGTCAGGTAGCAAGAAACTTTTAAGATCAAATTTCGTTCATCCGCCCTCAGCGTCACCCTTGTGAGTACGGCGACACCCTTGTGAGTACGGCGACGCCCTTGTGAGTACGGCGACGCCCTTGTGAGTACGGCGACACCCTTGTGAGTACGGCGACACCCTTGTGAGTACGGCAACACCCTTGTGAGTACGGCGACACCCTTGTGAGTACGGCGACGCCCTTGTGAGTACGGCGACACCCTTGTGAGTACGGCAACACCCTTGTGAGTACGGCGACACCCTTGTGAGTACGGCGACACCCTTGTGAGTACGGCGACACCCTTGTGAGTACGGCGACACCCTTGTGAGTACGGCGACACCCTTGTGAGTACGGCTACACCCTTGTGAGTACGGCAACACCCTTGTGAGTACAGCGACACCCTTGTGAGTACGGCAACACCCTTGTGAGTACGGCCACACCCTTGTGAGTACGGCGACACCCTTATGAGTTCGGCGACACCCTTGTGAGTACGGCGACAACCTTGAGAGTAAGACGACACCCTTGTGAGTACGGAGACACCCTTGTGAGTACGGCAACACCCTTGTGAGTACGGCAACACCCTTGTGAGTAAGACGACACCCTTGTGAGTAAAGCGACACCCTTGTGAGTACAACGATACCCTTGTTAGTACGGCGACATCCTTCTCGACTCACTAATAGGAATTCCAGGTTCGAATCCCGTGCGGGGCAGAAATAGTTGTGCGAGTTTCCTCTCACTTAATGCCTCTGTTCACCTAGCAGAAATAGATACCCCGGAGCTAGTCAGCCTGTTGTGGGGTTGCTCTATTGGAGGGAGGGAGGGGGGAGGGAGAGGAATACAGTAATTCGACCTTGGGGGGCGGGGGCCCTTGTATAAGACTAACATATATATATATATATATATATATATATATATATATATATATATATATATATATATATATATATATATATATATATATATATATATATATATATATATATGTGTGTGTATATCACGAAAATAAACACGTGATTAAGAATGTGACAATGTCAGACCACGGAGGAAAAATGAAACAGGAAATTTCCTTAAGTACTTTCGTATATTAAATACATCTTCAGAAGGTCACCTTCTGAAGATGTATTTAATATACGAAAGTACTTAAGGAAATTTCCTGTTTCATTTTTCCTCCGTGGTCTGACATTGTCATATATATATATATATATATATATATATATATATATATATATATATATATATATATATATATATATATATATATATATATATATATATATATATATATATATATATATATATATATATATACACACAATGGCTGCCAGTCCCCTGACTCAATAAATTATTTTTACATTGATTTAAATAAAAATCATAATACTAATTTCACCACTTCATTCAGGCATATAAACACGTATTCAGGGAAATGCAATTTCATATACAATTTGTTTAGGTAAATTAATGAAAGCGCTCAACCAATATTACTAAATAGTTAACAATTTTGAAATTCCGAATAATATCTTTATAATAATTTCTTCGTTAAACATAATCACACAGGGAATTATTTTGGATATTTAGTTAATACTTATGTAAAGTATTGGGTATTTATGTTTAACAAACAAGGTCATTCCCTCTGCCAGTTTGGGCGAGCCAATCCGTGCGGCCTCAAAACTTTGGACAAATCGAGACAAACCTTGATTATAGGTATGGCGACATTCTACGCACTCGGACCTGACACCTTTGACGCACTCAGACCTGACACCCTCGACGGACTCAGACCTGACACCCTCGACGTATTCAGACCTGACACCATTTCGACGCACTCAGATCTGACACCCTCGACGTACTCCGACCTGACACCTCCAACGCACTCAGACCTGACACCCTCAACGCACTCAGACCTGACACCCTCGACGAACTCAGACCTGACAATCTCGGCGCACTCAGACCTGACACCTATGACGCACTCAAACCTGACAAACTCGACGTACTCAGACCTGACATCCCGAGACGTTCTCAAACCTGTCACTTTCGACACACTCAGACCTGACACTCTCGACGTACTCAGACCTGACACTCTAGGCGTATTCAGACCAGATACCCCTCGACTCATTCAGACCTGACACCTACGACGCACTAGGACAAAGAACTACATCAAGGACAAGCCCACTCGATTTTCCATTTTTTCCTGAACCTAATTCCAGGTGATTTGGTCAGTGTTATGAAGGACACTGCGTGAGTGGGGGCTTATAAATACCAGGGTCGTACATCCTTGGGCATCAGAACCTCGACACTGGCGAGAAGAATGGTTGGTCCTGCTTACTGAATATCTGTGATCTAAATATCGTTCAAAACTGCCTTAGTGTTTGAGTATTAAATAACCAAAGTGGAAAATATTGATATACTGTCTCCTTCCAGCAGCGTGTGTTTGTCTTGCTGGTTGTGGTGCTGATGGTGGCGGCGGCTGTGGTGTTGGGGGTCGACCCAGAGCACCACAGAGATGAGAGGGCTCTTAAGCTCCTCAAGTTCGTCAAGGGACTCAAAGCTGGGACCCTGGGGCTAGGTGAGTATTTTGGAAGATGGAGCACTAACGTGGAGGAAAATGTGGGGGGACTTTGTTAATGTGAGTCTGTGTGTCTACCCTTATACCGGTATGTCTTTCCGGCGATGTTATTCTCTCAGTATGTTTGTCTGTTTCTGCCTGAATGTCTGACATTCTGTTAGTCTGTCGGTCTGTCTTTTTATCGTTCCTTTTGACTTTTTATCGTTTTTTTGTAGTTTTTGTCGTTCTGTCTGTCTGTCTGTCTATCTATATGTCTGTCTGTCTGTCTGTCTCCCCCTCTCTCTCTCTCTCTCTTTATCTCTCTCTCTCACTCAGCAAGAACACTTGCTCTCCATAAGACAACACACAACTTATCAGATGTCAGTAACATCGTTACTGACGATGTCTTATTTGTCAGAAAAGTGGGTAACGTCAGTAACTTCGTTACTAACACCTTCACGACATACATCGCAGGTACTGTGACAAACTCGTGTCGTCTCCTTGCGATATTAAGAGTGACAGTGAGTAAAAACGTACCTAACAGGTTCATGCGGTGAGTGCTTGGTCACTCATGACGCCTCCTGTGCTTGGCCTAGAAGACCGTCTTGGCCTCCACTCTGACCTTCTGAAACTTTATTTTTTGCATGGCATTTGCGTTCAGTTTTTGTCTTCTTATGGCCGGGGTTTTCTCACGCTCCATTATCAGTAGTTTGTACTTTAAACCTCCTGAACCCAGATGGTGTTTCGCTACAACATCTTGGCATGCGTCAGGGTCTTACACTGAATTTTAAATTAAAATAAGGTCATTGATGTATAAATATACATAAAGGGATGAGTTAGCTTTTGCTAGTCTCACCCCGTTTAATACATCGTGTTCATAAATACACACACATCGCAAACAACATATTATTGGACATTCTGGTTGATAAATATATACATTTCTTCCTGTACACATGCCAAATGTGTACAGAAAGAAATGTGGACGTTTATGTACACAGACGTACACACAACTATTTTTATGGCTAAGTACATAGAAATAAGAATCATTCAAGATGCTACAAATAAACATTCTGATAATTCAACAAATGGTTACAATCGTTGTGCAAAATTATTATATCTCGCCAGAATATCATCAGCCTTTCCATTGTAAGCTACTTCCATCCAGGCTATTTGTTCAGGAACTGTCCTATTCTCAGTATTTCTATATTCATTATTCAGAGGGCAATCAAGAATATAATGAGTGAGAGTGTGAGGCCTTAACACACCACATTGTTTACACTTGGTTTCATTATCATTGACTCCTGTTCCTTATTGCCATTAATATTTGTACCCAAGTCTGAGCCTCATGTGTATTGAGTCATTCCAAGCATTTCTCCTTTTACGTTAAGTGAAATGGGTGTCTTGATTCACGTGTGGTGTTGCATGGTCTGACCTCCCTCGTACATGATACCTCTCTTCGCCACCTCTGCCTGAATATTTCCTACTTTGCTTCTTATTTGTCTCTGGTCAAAACACATTCAATGTCAACTTATGGTCTTGATGTGGCGCGGTTGGCCAGCTCATTCACCACTTCGTTCGACACATTCCAACATGAGATGGAATCTACAAGAATTTCAGTTCTGACCTTTAGGCTAAATCTCATTTATCTTTTTCTTTTAGTCCTCAACAATGTACATGATGATTGAATTTTGTATGATTAATGGAGAGTATCGTTGTACGTTGCTGAGGTGTTCTAGCTACCTCTTCCTTGTGTCTGTCTCTTTATCTCTTCTTGTTATTACTTCATGTGTTATTGAACCATTGTATTTTACAAAACAAATACCCTGTCATTATCGTGGACATAATGGCTCTAGATGGCTCCATTTGCTAAATCTAGTCTTTCCCAGTTTTGTGGATTACTTTTGTCATTTTTATTTGCATCGTACCCTCCTTTTCTCAAACTTCCTCAAGAACATATTTCATGTATCATAAACAAATACGACTGTGAATAGATTATTTTTGTAATCCATTTATTAATTTAAAGCATTTATCTAGTCTTATCTCACATTAAGATTGAATAATAATATTCTGCTTGGCAATTACTTGTGATTTTACAATTATTATTTTATCTTCAGTGTGCAATAAAATACAGCTAATTAAATACTTTTCCTTTTCAGTCAAAATAGGATGATGGAGCAAATGATCCTTGGTGGCACCGTTACACTGTCTTTCATCTATAATCCCCTTGACGTCAGAATTACCTTGAATATGTTCCTGATTGCTGTGTTTTATTTACAATAAACAGAACCATATTTTTATCTAATGTATATAATATATTCCTATAGTTATAAATTTATTGAATATAGTAAACATGCAAAGGAAAGTAAATTCTGTGATATTCAAACAGAATGCAAAGAGTAACAGTCAATCAAACAAAATCAGATCCAAGCACTGTGAAGAGCTCACTACCTAGAGGATCGGTTAGTGCGTCACTGCTTCTTGTCATTCTCTAATCAGTTGTGGAGGAAACACAAGTCACTGCTTCGTGTCCTCCTTTGCAGACGATTAAAAAATCATGAAAAATAACTTCAATGAAAGACAAGTAAAAGTGAGAGTACGCTTTTGATAAATACAACCTCATATATGCATAGCATCTCGCAGATGAAAGCTTTTGATAACTTGATATTGAAGTCATTATAAGAATATGCTACAATATGTTGAGTGTGTGAGACAACAGTCCGCCAGGGGGGGTTTAGCAAGTCCGTGATCCACATCGAGCATAATTTTTTGTGTCATGAGTCTAATATCTGAAGTGTTGTCAAGTTTGTTTTTGTTTTTCATAATTTAAAGCTTGTCTTGAAACTTGATCTCGCTGCGTTGTTTAATATAACTGTTTTTATATTTAATAAATTATGTTTTATTAACTAATCGCGATTTGTTTTAACATTTTACATCATTTTCCAGATTGTGAACTGTGGTTTTCACTGTTTCTCATGCAACATGAGATGTACTGATATTCATAATTAATAGATTTAAAGTGTTTAACAGATCTTTCTTTCGCTATAAAGGGATAAATAAAAAAAGTATATATGAATTATTTATTTCTTATTATAACTGCTCCTATAATATGATTGAAAGATCAAGATACAATATCTGGACACAAGCTGAGAGCGAGAAAACCACCTTTGCTTTATTAGGAAGCTTATATCTGTAAACTATCAACAATATCTAGCCTCAGAAATCTATAATTTGTATGCAGTTAAATGCTGAAATTGTAGCAGTCTGAGGCTAGGTAATAATGATATAATTACCAGGAAATGCGAAGTCTGAACGCGACAAATATATGCAGGTCATAATAAGTATGACTTTACAGCCCAAAAAAGAATGCATTACAATAATACGTCAAATTAGACGCTGTGATTTAGTTGTAAAAGCGGTAACAATTGAACATTTAATATTAGTCATCAGCTATATCTTGCACTATATCTAAAAGGGGCGTAATACTTTTTAGATTATGCAGTTCAATTGTAAACGCCATAATATAGATTGAATATAAAATCACCTGAAAGTCGTTAGTGGCGGATGACAAAGCTAATCTTATGAATAACAATTCTCACATCTGAAGAAAGATTGAGAAATAATAATTTACATTCTCAAGAAAGGCGAAGATTTAAGGGTGACAAGAATGAAGTGTACAAGTGGATGAAATTCTATACAAACACAATACAATAACTGTAACTTCCATAACTTTAGACTTAGGAAAGACCTGGGTAAATATTGATTTCGGTATAGGACTGCGTGATTTGTGCAAGAAATTATCGTGTAACATAATACATGCGGGATAACATGATTGTTTCAAGTGCAGGCTAGACATATATATATAAATGAGTTTTAGTGGATATAAATTGGAGCTGCCTCCTATTGGACACTAGGCTTCCTGCATTGTTCTAAATTATGTTGTAATGTCCTTCATTATATTTATGATGTAGTACAGATGAACCGGTCACCACCCGTAGCCATAACCTGAAATAGACACAAGTTGTTTACATCAAGGTATGTAAATATTTACAAAGTATGAAAAACATATAAGTATATGTACATCAAGTTAAAAATATCTGCAAAATTTACTACAAAATATATTATGATGCTTTTGCAATCGAAATATTTTGAATGAACAGAAAATATATTATATTTACAAAGCTAGGATACATCGAGTTGTTAAGCCTAAGACTGCTCATCAAGTATATTAAAAGATCGAATCAATATTGTTATTTTCAGAGATCGATTTACATCGTAACCTGCATAAAGTATGCTGTATATATCGGTTAATACTTCATGTTATTAGCTGCAGCCTGAGGTAAAGAATGATATGTGGTCGTTAACATCATTCGATCGTGTATGTCGTGTGTTGGTGTATGTCAGTGTTGGAGTATGTCAGTGTTGGTGTATGTCGTGTGTTGGTGTACGTCAGTGTTGGTGTTTGTCGTGTGTTGGTGTATGTCAGTGTTGGTGTATGTCAGTGTTGGTGTATGTAACTGAGCCAGCCAGCCAGAGGAGTGCAGATGACGGAGGGTGAGGCCTCACCGTAGCGGCGCCGCAGGACCCTGGTGAGACCCGAGTATACACCTCCGTACCCACCTGTGAAGAAAGCATTCCTTAGACCCAATACAGACAAGAGATATAATATACTTACTAGTCCATACAGACAAGAGGCTTATTATACTCACTAGTCAATACAGATAAGAGGCATGATATACTCACTAGTCAATACAGACAAGAGGCATGATATACTCACTAGTCAATACAGACAAGAGGCATAATATACTCACTAGTCAATACAGACAAGAGGCATAATATACTCACTAGTCAACAAACTGTGTAGAGAATATTTACCAAATCCACCATGCCCGTGGTGTCCACCATGTCCCTGGTATCTACCATGGCCACGGTATCGACCATAACCATACACAGGGTAGCCTCCATAACCATATATAGGGTAACCTCCATTGTCATAATATCCACGGAAGCCTCCATAGACACCATATCCTCGCGAGCCACCATAGATCTTGCCAGCGTTAGCAGCGGCAGCAACAAACACCAAGATCACAATCAATAAAATGCGCTGAAACAAAACGCAGAACATCGCGTTATCTTACCAAGCATGCTGAGCTGTTGTCTGGAGTCTACATCAAGCACTGAAATGTTCACATACCGACCTTTCCTTACCATTGTGTTGGTGTGAGGAGGACTGAGTGCGAGGCCTGGAGGGCGTCCTGGACCTTATATACGAGAAGGTCATCCTCCACTGCCCTCCCTGACCGTGTGCATCTCAAGGCACTGGTTGGCCTTGAAGGGAAAAAATAGTGTCGTATTTTTACCATTTATAATCCTCAGACAAGAACATCAGACACGAATTGAAATCCAACTCGTGAAAACCCAGTGTAATAAATCTTCCCATCTCGGAAATCCTGGGGAAAAGTCTTGGCGTAAATTCTTGTTCGGATTCGGTATTTAACTATTAAAGAATGGCAAGAAAGAGAGCACAGGTGATAATGATATACATAATGGTTGTATAAAGGTCAGTCACGTATCTTCTCGAGTGATATGGAGGGGAGTGCGATGAAGCGTCGACTGATGATGTTCGTCCTTCGTTGTCGAAGATGATCAGGACTTCAATATACGGGTTGATGTCATTTCAAGTTCAAGTATGTTTATTGAAACAAGAAAAAATACATCTCAAAGGGATAGAGTAGCTCAGGCTATTTCTTAGTTTAGACTTAGGCTAGTTACTTGCGCTTAAATTGCACTACGGGTACACCATAGCCCGTGCTACTAGGAACTTTTTGTTCCCAGTAGCTTAGTCTAACACAACAATCAATCAGTTCGTGAGGGTAGGAACTGGACATGTCGAGTGTTGCATTCTTTTTGGTGAATGTTGAAGATGATTAAAGTAAGGAAGAGTTGCGCAAATCGTTAGCCTCACTCTCTCGTCCCGGCCAATCTGGTTCTAGCGGCAAGACAATTCGAGACGGCAGGAGATAGATTAGGATTCAGTGGATGGCCAGCAGTGTCCTGTGTGTCTCACTGTGCTCTAGTTGCGCTCCACAACACTTTGCTGGTCCGCCTTCCTGCCCGCTGAACCATTCTGGTGGTTTCCTCCGCGCAGTTTCCCGGCTGCAGTCTTCTCAAGCATAGGTAGATAAGCCGTACTACGCCGAGCGTTTCAAATCTTCGCTTACCCTCACCTGGGTTTGCCCGCCAGTCGAAGCGCCTGCTATCGCTGATACAGCGATAGCAGGCGGCTTGACATCTGCGAGGCACTACACATCAAGAAGTCAACACCAGCAATCAACAGCCAATTAATGCACAACTATATTCTACCCACTTCAAGACTCCGTTCCAATATAGCAGCATCAAGAAATATGGGCCAATAGGCCCTCTGCAGTTACTTCCATTCTTACCTTCAATTTACCCAATTAATACCCATTGTTTCGAGTTCTGTCTTGTGTTGAAAGTTTTGTTCACCTCATCCAAAACTGTTGTAACATATCACCTCACCCAATATGCGGGTATAAAATAAACTGAAAGCTGTTTAAATCATAGCATAGTAAGAACTCTGTTTAGTGTTTGCAGGTTATAGTTGTGTGTGTGTAAACTAAAAGTCTTTGAAAATGTAATAAGTTATTACGAAACGCGTTCAAGTGTCGCATCAGACTAGAAATAAAAATGAATTTTGGAGAATTGATTTTTCAATTACCATCAACAGTGAAAAGAAACATAAGAAATATTGAGAAAATTCGTGTAAGAATTATTAATCTTACTTTTTCGGTCATTTATATATATATATATATATATATATATATATATATATATATATATATATATATATATATATATATATATATATATATATATATATATATATGTCGTACCTAATAGCCAGAACGCACTTCTCAGCCTACTATTCAAGGCCCGATTTGCCTAATAAGCCAAGTTTTCATGAATTAATGTTTTTTCGTCTACCTAACCTACCTAACCTAACCTAACCTAGCTTTTTTTGGCTACCTAACCTAACCTTACCTATAAATATAGGTTAGGTTAGGTTAGGTAAGGTTTGTTAGGTTCGGTCATATATCTACGTTAATTTTAACTCCAATAAAAAAAAATTGACCTCATACATAGAGAAAGGGTTGCTTTATCATTTCATAAGGGTTGCTTTATCATTTCATAAGAAAACAATTATAGTAAATATATTAATTTAGGAAAACTTGGCTTATTAGGCAAATCGGGCCTTGAATAGTAGGCTGAGAAGTGAGTT